GTTTCTCATGATGTACTCTGCATATAAGTTAAATAAGCAGGGTGACAATATACAGCCTTGATGTACTCCTTTTCCTATTTGGAACCAGTCTGCTGTTCCATGTCCAGTTCTAACTGTTGCTTCCTCACCTGCATACAGGTTTCTCAAGAGTTCTAAATAGAAACTCTCATCCAGTCTAACTGCCCTACTGATGATCCCTGGAATATATGTTGCATTTTCCCAACTTTATTTCCATGTTCTTGTAATACTTTTACTTATGGCTACCTCTCTTTGCCCTCTATGCCACATACCTACAATCTCTATCAATCCAAACTTTTCCACCCTTCAAAACCTTGTTCTAGTTCCTCTTGTTGTCTGGAAACATCTCTTGTAATCATTGTTCTGACGGATGAGGTCCTCCTCTATTCACGTCTCATATAAAACTGTAGCTGGACAGACTCTGAAGCCACACTGCTTGGCTTTGTATCCCAGATAAATCAGTTACTATCATATGATCTTAGGCAAATCAGTTCTCATCTGCATACCTCAGTTTTCTCATCTCTAAAATGGGAAGACTAATGGCACCTGCCTCACAGAGTTATTGTGAGTATCCCCCAAGTCATATTGCTATCCAATATGTGCCCATCACTTAGAACTTAAATTTACTATATATCATTATTTTATAAACTTTATCAACTTTGTGCATAAATGTCATTGCTAGATGTAATTTGACCAAGAGAATAGATCATATTTTACCCTCATAAAACTATGGCATTTTGTGTGTAATATGTCTGTAATATAAGATGAAAAACATAAGATCAAAAATATTTGCTATATGAAAAAATACCTAAAACAAGGTTGTTAGTTTTATCACTCTACATTAATCTCACTATATCTTAAAACATGTCCCTTTATTCTTTAATGAATGTATACTACATACAATTTTAGGGCTAAATTAAACTGAAGTAAGTGGGAAAAGATCTTATGGTAGAAAAATTCTATCTTATATGTCTATTAGTTAGCTTTTTATATAATAAGGGAAATGAGGCCTATCAATTATGAAATGCGCTATAATTACCTTAATGGCATTCTCCAGAAAGGTACCTGTATTTTACTTGAGAAGTGATTCATTCAGGTCATAGAATTAGAACTTTTAAATTTATTCAATCAACATTACCTTGAAGTGCAAACAGATATAAAAAGATAATTACATACAAAAAAAAAAACCCTCTAGGAAGAAAAAGGAGTTTTCATTCCAAAATCACTTAAAACTCTCTATTTAGTATAATAAGGTGTATGCGCGTGTACTAAGTCACTTTAGTCGTATCTGACTTCTTGTGACATTATGGACTGTGGCCTGTCAGCCTCCTCTGTCCATGGGATTCTCCAGGCAACGATACTGGAGTGGGTTGCTGTGCCTTTCTCCAGGGTATCTTCCTGACCTTGGGATCGAACCTGTTTCTCCTGCATTGCAGACGGGTTCTTACTGCTGAGCCACCAATAGCTCAGTCTAATTTCTCACTCAGATAATTATCTTCTGTTAAAACACTTCAGAATATTATTCTTTGAATGCAATGTGACAAGTAATACTATAAAGGCAGATTGATGTCTCTCCTCCTCTTTAAAGTTTGTAAAAGTTATAAAAAAAAGTTTGTCTAAAATAATTTGTCATATATTTGTAGTATACCTATGTTAGGTAAAACACCCCATATGTAGAAAATATGCATTAGAGATGTCATTTGACTTGAACTTTGAAAGTGTCAGCATTGTAACAAAAGGTGACAGGGACTCCAGGAAGAAGAGGCAGCCTGTATCTTGTCATGAAAGAGCTCATCAACTTCAAACACAGCTAGAGGCCTGGATTTTCCTTTTTAATTCAGGAAATGACAGAGATGAGTTTGGGAACACTGATTTTTAAAATGACTGGAAATACAATACCAGGGAAAAAAAAAAAGAGTGACTCATGTTGTATTTGTAAATGGCCATGGCAATAAACAACAAAAAAAAGATTACAAATGCTTTTTCTCCTTAGGATTATTGTAATCTAAATTCATGAATTGAGATATGCTCCCAGATTCAGTTCAGTTCAGTTCAGTTGCTCAGTCGTGCCTGACTCTTCGTGACCCCATGGACTGCAGCATGCAAGGCCTCCCTGTCCATCACCAACTCCTGGAGTCTACTCAAACTCATCTCCATTGAGTAGGTGATGCCATCCAACCATCTCACCCTCTGTCATCCCCTTCTCCTCTTGCCCCCAATCTCTCCCAGCATCAGGGTCTTTTCAAATGAGTCAGCTCTTCCCTCCCAGATTAACCTCATTTTAATGACACCACCACACCCATTCAATGGACCTCAGACAAACTACTAAATAGACAAAATTCTGCTTTGGGTTGTTTGGTCTCATTCTATCCTAGGGCTTATTTCTGACTTTCATTAATGTTGAAACCCCTTTTCTTTCAAAAGTCCAGAATTAATTAATAACTGTTTAGGCACAGGGACCAACATGTCCAAAGTTCCACCAGCCACAATGCTGGAATATTGAAACATCCTGCTATACCAGACATCACTCCTTCATCTGTCTGATTTCAGGAATTCAGAAGAATTCAGAAGTACTCAGAGATGAAGCCGAGTAGGCATACAAAAGGGACATGCGGGTAACCCTGGCTTTAGCTTTTTATAAAACAGTATGAAAGTATTTTTAAAAAAATTTATAGGTATTAGAATCAAAGAATGTGTACTTACTGAACACCAGCTCTGAACAAACTAGGGAAAATGTCTACGTTTTCAGGAATCAGACTGTGTTTACAGGAATCTGCCCTGTGAAGCTCTTTGCCTTTCATTTACAGAAATCCACTGAGGGAGTTGTCAGAGATTAATCGAAATTGGAAGAACTGAATTCCAGCAGATATCCAGCGGATATAGTCGAAGCTTTCCTTCATCAGCATCTCTCAGTCCCTACCATGTGAGCAGACGCTTTGTCCATCAAAGTGAAGGCTTTGTCAATATCTATGTTTATCTCCTCTACCCCAATATTACTACTGTACAACCTTCAGCTTCCTTCTGTTCTCTTTTCCTAGAATTTCTTCTTTCCATCTGTCCTCTAATTTTTTAGACCCTCTTCTTACAGTTATGGGTTAGTGCAAATATTTATTACCGTTCTCCCAAGGTCTCCTGAGCAGGAGTTGGATAAATCCCTATGTAAAAAAATCTCTTTCTTAGGCAAATTTGTTCCTTAAATTCAACCCAAGTTCACTGAGCTTAGATGAAAGAATTCATAATCTAAAGAGAATGAACTGATCATAAAACTTTCTGTTATTAAATAGTATATATTTGGAAACAAAAAGTGGTTATTTTTTTAGGGAGAAAGACACCTGGTTTCTCTCCTATAAGGTTTTTCTGGGGTTCATCACCTAATATTAAAAGTCAGATACATTATTTATGACAGTGTAGGTTGAATTTTCAATAGCAAAAATGTTATTTGAAAAATATGATAGGGACCTAAAATGCCTCTCATATTTCAGAAAATGCTGCTGCTGCTAAGTCGCTTCAGTTGTGTCCGACTCTGTGTGACCCCATAGACAGCAGCCCACCAGGCTCCCCCGTCCCTGGGATTCTGCAGGCAAGAACACTGGAGTGGGTTGCCATTTCCTCCTTCAATGCATGAGAGTGAAAGTGAAGTTGCTCAGTTGTGTCCAGCTCTCCGCGACCCCACGGACTGCAGCCCGCCAGGCTCCACCGTCCATGGGATTCTCCAGGCAAGAGTACTGGAGTGGGTTGTCATTGCTTTCTCCGTCAGAAAATGGGGGAAAAGCAATAAAAATGCATATTTGCAAATAAGCATGACCTTCTTTTGTTGACAAGAATAAGAAAATTCACGATCCATCTGATTATTTTTTATGCTTGAGTCATTTTAATGATAATTATATTTAGTTTGGCTTATGTTTTGTCTCAGATCCTGCTAGCCTGCAAAAATGACATAGCAATAATTAATGTGGCTTACTCTAACCATTGTAAACTCAATAAAATGGCATAAATCATTTTCCATTATCCAGCTGAAGTACAGACAAAGAGTAGATTTGCCAATAATTTTGAAAGCATATTATAAAAAATCAATATAAAAAGAGCTCATAAAGCATGTTAAAACATGATTTTAATCTGAGAGTGGAGTTTTTATATTACTTTATGTTATTTACTAAGGACCCAGTTCAGGCAGAGTCTAAACAGTAATAGAAACAGATTATTCGAGGAACTT